TTCAATTGTATTTAAGTTAATATTGTATTTGTCATTTTTTATTGATTCCCGAATTGAAACTATACGCTACGCCCCCCCCCCCCTGCTTCGAGATTTTGAGCTATTGGGGAGTAACGCCCCCGCCTTAACGACCAAGTTACGCCCCTGCCTCTCACCCTCATTCACAAACTGATTGTTGCATTTAATATACGAATAAGTGAAGATGTGTTTCATTTGCATTAGTATTGCATCACCCATTCTGGCGAAAGATAAATTTTGAAAGAACTTCATCATTTGAAATAAGAAGAAAACAGTCTCTTAACTTTGTGAAAAAACTAACGTGATAATATCACTATCAAAAAATTCAATAGATTTGCTTTTATTTTTAGATGATTTTACCCGCATTTCACAACACTTTATTGATATCATCTATATTTCCGTATCAAACGGAAAAGTATTTAATCACTTCACCACGAACTGAACGTCATCGTTTCTTGAATGGCCTTGCATTGTTACTTAATGGCTCAAAATCATGTACATCTGTATATCCATGGTTAACAAAAAAACAACTGCTCATTGCACGTAATGAACCATTAACAAGGGACGATGAAATCTATTTTAACGATTTTTTTCGTTTCATACGAATATATTCAAGTTATTGTTCAGCATCAAATGAAGAAGGTATGACTGAAATATATTCAGTATTAAAATCTATTGTACTTCAATATAACAAAGACAAATGTATTGAACGTATACTTGATCCAATGTTCAATGATGCTGTTTCAAATCTTGAAAAATTACTTAATTCTGATATTGATGAAATATGTCAAAATGTTACTATTGGTCAAGCGAGCAAAAGCAAAAGTATGATTGATTATATAAATTTAAGAGAAGAAAATATTTCTTTAAAAGAATATATTTCAATATTATTCAATTGGGTCAAGCGTATAGTTTCAATTCGGGAATCAATAAAAAATGACAAATACAATATTAACTTAAATACAATTGAAAACTTTCAAGAATGTTGTGAATTACTAATTTATTCTAAAATATTTCGTTCAATAGTGTCATACATATATTCAGTGGTCCATGTTCATGAACGTATTCTATATTATTTAAATAAAGTGTCGGAACATCTAAGGTCATTGGACCTAATATTGAAAACTTTAGAAAGAAGAAGATTTGATTATGGTGAAATATATGAAAATATACAATGGTATTTTATTGAACCTATTGAAAATATTGTTAAATTAAATGAAGCACCATCATCATCATTTGATAAAATTTGGTTAACATGTGATTTACCCGATGCTCAAACGAAAATTGATTTTAAACGTGAATATATCGGCAATAAATTTGTTCATTATGATTCAAAATTAGAACTATCCATCTGTTTACACAGTGAAATTCGAATTATAGATTATTTAATCGAACAAAATATATATGAAGTTCGAGATGGTGATATAGAAATTGGAATAGCGAAACTACCATGCTATCCTTGTTCATTATATATTGAACAATTAAATCAAAAATTCAATCGAAATTTTTATGTTGTTGATTTAAAAACTCATGGAAAGATTTATGCGAATTGGACATTTAGAAATGGTGAAGATGATTTTATAGAAAATGAACTTAATGACAAATTATATAGATTAATCAGAAAAGAACTGATACAGTTCGAACGAACTAACAGAAAAAAAAGTCAGCATAGTGACAAGCAAGAAACAGATGTAGCCGATAACAATGTCGATATGAAATTTATAAAATTAATCGTCGATAATATGATAAAGCGTCAAAAAAATTGAAGATTTCCGATGAAAAACAGTAACTTGTTTCTTTTTTGTGCTCATTCTTTTTTTTCTTCTGTTCTCGTTCTTTCTTTATATTTCTCATGTGTTCATATATGACACAAGAGTCCACGTGCAACATCCCATGAGACGAAACTTTTCCAAAAATTTTAATAAGCCCAGACAGATTAACATTTTTTTTTGGTCGAGATAATCTGAGAAAATTGTTTTTTTTTATTTTCGTTAATACTAGAGTTTTTTACGTATTTAGTTTGTTTTAGTAGTTTGTATTCTTTTTCAAGTGATCTTTTGAAAATGTCAATTAATATATACAAAAGATTATTAAAAAAGAATATGAAACCGTTTAAAGAAACCATCTACTTGAAAACTATAGTTTTAACGAAAAAAATCTAGGAATTATCTAATGGAATCTCTACAAAACAAAGTTTTTACTCATTTTGTCTTATTGAATTCTTTTGAAAAGTTTCTTCCCACAGGATGTTCCATGCGGACCCTCATCCATTGACATATGTTTGGTCTCCTTGTTACTTCTCTCTTGTTTGATTTTCTTGTATCTATTATTTGGTATATATATATGAATGTTACAATAAAGCAAGTTCAGTTGAGTTACTAATACTTATTTTTATATCATTTGCGTTTATCACAATATCTTCAAGTATTCAACAATAATCCTAATGAAACGGTTTTCTATTGGTAAGCTAGAAAAAAAAGAAAAGAATTTCACAGGATAATTCAATTTGAAATTGTTTTTTTATAGACATTATTTGCCCGTCGAAGATTTCACTCAATGTCTTGTTATGATTCGACCGTTTTTTTTTATGCCTATTCATTTAATGATCCACCTGAAGTAACATACATATAAATGAATGGAATCTGAAAAAGTTCAATATTGTTGATGAAATTTGAGGATGTAGGTATGCTAAGAACACCGAGAACTATTCTCATACTTACATCCTGATCAACATTATTCAAATTCATCGACAATAATAATAACGTGGTTAACACGATCATATCATTCTTATGGTTGTATATTGTCAACAATATCTCATTGTATATTATTTCTTCGTGAATTTGTTATATCATCAAACCATTTAAAACAATCAATAAAAAATAATATATAATTAACCCCTTGACTGTTAAGTTTTTTTAAAACTATCTAGTAAAATTTTTGCAAAATAACTTTTGATACACAGGAACATAATCGAATAATCAATATGAAACATCAGATACAGTAGAATGGGCTCCAGTAGATGCAGAATGTTAGAATCAACCCATAGCATACAAAGAAAACAGAGTTAAGGAATTATAGTCTTCATCTCTTCTATAAAAATTTCTCTCATGAGTATACTTGTCGTTAACAGTCAAGAGGTTATTTGATGAATTATTATTGAATAATATTATATGTAAGACAAATCAACAAGTATTTCATTATATACGTTTATTATTTTGTTACTTAATTCGTAATAATATACAATTAACTGATTCTATAATAACAAAAATATTTCAAGAAAAATTAATATTATCATCATCATTATTAATTAATTATGTTTTATTAGTATTTTTTTTTCATTAATAAAACGTTTAAATCAAGATGATTACGATCAATGTTGGGAAAATAAATTACGTATTATATGTAAATTATTTCTTTATTCATTCATTAAAAATTTCAATATTACAAATACTTGAATTAATAACATAACCTTTGTTTAATAATGTTATTATATTTATCAAAACCTTTAACAATATAAATACAAATAAATGAAAAAATTTCATTGAATTTATATTGAATAATTTCTTTTATAATAAAAAAATATATCAAAATTGGAATAATAATTTACATAAAAATATTTCAACAACAATTAATAATTCATAGTTAGAAATATTAATTTTTCATCCACAATTAGTAACAATAGGTTATTTAATATGTAAATTAATTTCAAAACTCTTTATTAATGATAAACAAAAATTATTTATTATACAAATTATAATAGATTATTTACTCATTATATATAATGATAATCTTTGAAAATATTCTTATGAATATTTACAATTAAATAATGATTTATTATTAAATAATAATCAATTAAAATGATTACTTTGTAATGATAAACTTTGGCCATTGAATAAAATTTTTAACAGAATTATTAAATATATTTTTATAATAGATGAATAAAAACAAAGATATAAATCAATAATAATAACTATTGTATTAAACCAGTTATTTATCATTAAAAAAAATTAATTCTACAAAGAATAAAATTAATTGATGAAGCACAAAATAAAATGTTAGAATTATTAAAACAAATTATAAGAGGTAATGAATAAGAAACAAGATAATTTATGATTATTTTTATTGATACAATTCAAAAATTTCAATTAGATGATTTTGAAAACATTTTTATTTATATTTGAATGTTT